CCCATTGCTGAAGACAGGACATACTTTGGACATAGGACTTGGTGCAATGGAACTGGAACTGACCTGAAAGCCTCCTCCCTGAAGACTAGCTCTCATAGTGTCAGAAAATAGTATGCAAGCAGCTAATAGAAAAAAACGAAACAATGGTTCAACCCAGCCATAACATCTAATAACCACAACAATGACTGGCCCAGCAAATATCTTTACTGGTGCATTAGTGGCCTTTGTCTTGAGGGTATCAACAACTATCTGATTAGACTTCAAGCTCGTCCAATGGGAGGAAATCCTGTGTGATACTGTAAACATCACCAAATACACAAGGCTAGAGAAGTCAGACTCAGAGAAAAACTTATAGCCTTACACAAATGTAATTTCTTACTGTATGCTAAATATGGATCTTTATATTTACAGACAAGTGTACCTCTCACCACTCATCAAAGGAGCTTCTTTTTGCAACAGATGGAGACTATTACAGAGTTCCATAACTAGTCAATCACAGAGGATAAATGTCTGTGAGATATCAGCTGTGACATATCTACAGTGTGACCTCTATACCTAAGCCTCAGGGAACACAGCAGAACAGGGGCAGAGAGAATATTAATGCATCTCTTAATTCTCATCAGAGAAGCTTCCTCATGCAACAGATGATTAATACAGAAAGTCACAGATGGTCAAAATGTATAGAATAAGAGACTACAGAGTACTTATCCCTTAATAGGACACCTATAGCAAACCTCTGCCACCCAAGGCTCAGGGACCATTGTGGAAAGTGGGGAAGAAAGATTGTAAGAGCCAGGGGTGGTGGATGACTCAAGGAAACAGAGTTTTCTAGAGAGCTGGGAAATTACTCATATGAACTCACAGCAGTGACAGCAGCATGCACAAGATCCATGCAAGCTGAAGCCTGACAAAATCTCAGCACAGAAGTGGGGAAGTAAGAGGCCTCAACCTTAGCTGAGGAACTACTGACAATGATAACCACTGGGAGAGGGAGAGCTAGTTTTCTTTAAGGGTGTGACGCTAGATAGGTTAACCAAGCTCCAGTGGATAGAAGGGTACAGATACCAGAGAGTGTTTAATATGATAAAGATATATCGTATGAAATGCACAAAAATCAATAAAAATTTTAAAATAATAAAAGATAATAAACAACCAATTAGAAAAATGGGCAACAGATCTGAACAGACATTTGACCAAGAAATAAATATAGATAGCCAATAACACATGAAAAGATGTTCAGCATCATTATTATTATGGAAATGCAAAATAAAATCACAATGATAAATTACTACATACACATGTACATATGTTATATACACATCTACACTACATGCTAGCAAGGCTAAAATTAAAAGACTAATCATACTAAGCACTGCTGATAATGTGAAGCAATTAGAATTCTCATACACAATTGGTATAAATGTAAGATTATACAAACAACGCTAGAAATTTCTTTAAAAGTTAAATGAACACCTTCTATATGATTCAAGAACTCCATTCATAGATATTTACCCATGAGAAATGAAAGTCTATCTCATACCAAAACTTGTACACCAAAATTCAAAGCATAAAATATAATTCTCTTATGTAAAATTCTTAGAAATGCAAAACAGAAGCAGAAAGACCAACAATGGTTTGAGAACTGGCAGAGAAGAGACTATAAAGCAGATGTAGAGAAGGACAAGAAGAAACTTCAGGAGCACATGGACAGTTCTTGTTTGTAGTCAGATGCACATGCATAGACATCAAAACTTGCCAAACACCATACCTTGAATATATATAATACACTGTAATCCAATTATACCCAATAAAGATGTTAAAAAAGAAAAAAATGGCTGTTTCTGAAAAACTCTATTGAAGTTTTATTAAGTTGATCCAGAGAAATAACCACGACTGTCAAATGTTACGCTAATGTAACTAACCTACTAACATTTGAGGTGCCCTGGCTAATTTAGGGTAGGTACAGCAACAAATCTGTTGACAGGAAAGCAAATTGGAATACTAAAGGATGTGAAATCAAACAACTAATTTAATCACAGAATATGATTTGGAACTTTAAAGTTTAGTTATTTTGTTCTTAACTTGTAAGTAAATTAGGTTGTTAAGTAGGAAAAGCCATATTATCCAGAAATGAGAGGAGTAAGAAACAGATTAAATTCATATTAAATTTATATTAGGCTGGACTTATTTCTGATAAATTAGTCCATAAGCAAAGTCAAGGTCTCTGTAATCTTTATCACTCTAAATTACTCTTTCAAAAGGGAATCTGAAGAGAAGGGAGGAAGTTGTTTTGAGACAGGATCTCACTATGTAGCCCTGGCTAGCTTAGAACTTGCTTTGTAGACCAGGCTGGCCTAGAATTCTCAGAGAGCCACTTGCCCCTGTCTCTGGAATCCTGGGAGGAAGTATTTTTGAATAGTCATATCTAACAGAATCTTTTTTCATCCTCTATTTTTAAAGCACATGAGATAACTGAGTCAGATTTACTGAAATTCCAAGTCTGGCTCTAAACTGAGCTTCTGATCTGTGGAAGACAATTACTTCTTAGCTTACAGGAGATGATTTAGCATTATACAGGTAGCTCGTGATAATTTGGAACTAACGGTAGCTCCAATTTCTTTTTTAAAAAATATTTTTTGTTTATTTTTATTTTATGTGTATGTGTATATTGCCTGGGTGTAGGTAAGTGCACCCATGTCGTGCAATGCCCACAGAAGACAGAAGAGGCTGTTGGATCCCTGGAATTGGAGTTACAGACAGTTATTAGCTGTCATGTGGGTGCTGGGATTCAAACCCGGGTCTTCTGTAAGAACAACCAGTGTTCTTAACCACTGAGCCATCTCTCCGGCCCCAATTTCTTATTTTTACATTGCTTTTTTCCTTAATTTATTGAGAATTTCATACATGCATATAAGGTGTTTTGATCAAATC